GGTGACGATGGACAAACAAGTCATTGGTAAGTAGCCCTAATTTTTGGACCAAAATGTGAGCTGTAAAATAATGCGACTTAACAAAGTGAAATCCCAACAACTTCACCTCCACAAGTACAGGACCTGTTGAAGTACGAGTTATGCCGTGGAGTGTCAAAATCCTGTCTAAAGTGATGGACTTTTACTGCAGTGCAGTAAGAGCACCAAGACACCTAAGACATCGTGAAGGTGCAAAAATTAGTGCCAAACTGAATGATCTCATGGCGGAGCTCAAGACTTTGGAGGGGACACGTTAGCCTCGCAATCCCTTGATTCTAAAACTTACCAGAAGGCAGCGGCTAAATTTGTAGACAAATATTTACCAAAGTATTACACGAAGGCAGCACAGTCGTCCAGGTAAATAAATACAGGATTTACTGTCTTCACAATTGGCATGAGCCTACATGAGTAGCGAGTTTACCCACAGAGCCTTAAGTTTGACGTTTAGGACCTGCTGGTTGGTGTTAGTATGACGTGGGCATGAATAAACGCTTGTGCTTGAGTAAAAGCGTAGGGAAGAAGTAGAGATGTGGTCTCACCCGAAGGCCACCGCACCCACTCGGGAGGAAGAGGATATCCAAGCGACTGAGAATTGAATGGGTGGTGGGATAAACAAAGCACTACATTGGTCCCCTCTTCTTTTGAGAGAACGTGGCCGCGGCTCCCCGTAGCACGGATAGACACCGTGGCAAATCAGTGCTATTTGCAGTGTTGCGGACAGGCAGATGGAGAGGTAGTGACAACATCGCGTCCACTTCCGAAGCATGAGTAGCAGATAATAGATATGGAATCCGTGCGACGTCCAAACTCACGGAACATGTTGCATTGAAGAAGGAGGAAGATAAGAGATAATGCGGAAAAGTGAGAATGGGGAGAGAATCCACTGCGCTGGAATATGCCTTGAGGGACTGGGCTGCAGATGCCGTCGATGCCGCCCTTTCAAATTCACCGCTTGAGTACACCAGCAGCCAGCAATCTTTGCATAAGTTAGTGCTTTGACAAAGCATTCCTATCGTAAGTGCTGACCGAAATGAGATCAGCATCGTCAATAGAGTTGGGAGAGGCAAATAAATGCAATGCAAGTAAGACATTACTGTGTTGATCACACTTTCCGCAAATCGAGGACATTGTAGAGGACTTTACTGCAGCGCCAGTGTGATTGGGTGGCACTGCGTGGTTAATTTAAGTTTTGTGCGCTTTTATCTTTATGGGACTTCGAAAGCGCCACATTATAAGGTGGTGGTACTGTTGACTTTAACTGGACGATGTGTGTGGCTTTTCTTTATCGTACGAAGAACTGTGCAGGCCAGAGACAGAGACTCAATCTGAATGTCGTGTCGAGGAGTTGACAAACTCTGGAGGCACTGATAGGGGGTGAATGCTTTGGTCATTGCAAAATCCTTGAAGTGTCGCCAAGACATCAAACTTATGACACAACCACCTATCGGTTGGAAGCAAAAGACGGAGGCCGTAAAAACAAGCCACATCAGCTGCAGTGCTGGCGGATATCTTTCAGTAGGGAGGGAGAAGGAATCGAGAGGAACAGGCTGTTGTCATTGGATTTACTCTTGACCTCTGCCAAAGGGTCGCCTTTCCCACCCCTCCCCTCCTCTCCACGCCCCCCTCCCCCACCTTGGCACTTTCCCACACGAATTCGCTCCGGCAGCAATGCACTCCCGGGAGGCACAGGCAGCCCAGCCTGCATTTCTGCACAACACAGTTGCCCTCCTTTGAGACTTCCCATCAGTACTACATTCTGCAATATTTTGATATGCAAAATGCCAAAAGCCTCTTACAACTTATCAGAGCCGACCTATGAAAGCCCAAAGCT